CAGTAAAAAAGAAAAAGGAAAAAAAAAAAAAAAAAGTGATTCCATGATAATCACCCTTTCTGTGCTACCATTACCCCACCTCCCCACCACCACTTCAGGTAAGCATACTTCTTACTCCAACTTAACAAACCACCTGCACCCTGGGCATAACTGAAGTAAAACTTAATGGAATTGCCAGTCCAATCTGTTCATGTGTAAACGGTTCTTTCTGGGGCTCCTTGACCTTGTTTTATTCCTTTTTCCTAACCCTTGAACTGCATGACGGTCAGTTTCATGTGTCAGCTTGGCTTGGCTCTAGTACCCAGTTATTCAATCAAACACTAATCTGTGAAGGTGTTCTGTAGATGTAACTAGTATCTACAGCCAGTGGACTTTCAGGAAAGGAGATAATCCTGGATGATCTGGGTGGGCCTGATCCAATCAGGTGAAAGGCCCTAAGAGCAGAGCCGAGGTTTCCTGGAAGAAGAAATTGCACCTGTGGACTGTGGCATCAGTTGCACTGACTACCCTCCTGATGGTCTGCCCTGCAGATTTGGGACTTGCCTAGCAAGCCGCCACAATCCGGTAAGCCAAATCCTTACAATAAACCTCTTATTATGTATATCCTACTGGTTCTGTTTCTCTGGTGGAAACCTGGCCAATCCAATCTGGAAGAAGCTACACTGCAAGTGGGGGCAGAAGCTGCCTTGGTGTAGTGGGGAAAACAAGGTTCTGGAGCCAATGAACTTAGTATTTCAGCCTGGCTTACCACTTAGCTCTGTGCCCTAGGCAATAGAGATAATGACTTTCTCACAGGGCTCTCGGGAGAGTTAAGTGACAAAGCAGAGGTAAAGCCACTGTGCTACACCCTTTTCCCATGCTCAGTGCCCTGGGCAGTTGTCCACTGGGCACCTGCTGGGTGTGGTGCAAACATCTTGCACTCCTCAGCCCCAGGTGACTGGAGCCAGGGGACACCTGATCCACCACCACAAGCTCAGGCTGGTTTACAGAGGTGCCCAGGACCAATGCGATTCCCCACTAGGACTTTGACACTGCCCAGAAGTGCCATTTTTGGGAAAAGTGTACAAGCTGGAGTCATGGGGGAGTACAGACTATGCCAGTCAGAGGAAGCGTTTTGGCCAAGAGCAGAACGAGCAGATGTGGAAAGG